TTGGCAAAGGGCTGAGGTGAGGTGGGGGCTGGAGCAGGGACTTGGGGCCCAAACCCCAGCATTTGGGGAAGCACAGGAGCCAGTGCAGGTGAGTGACTGCAGGGAAGAGCCACCAGGCTGCAGATGGCATCCAGGCTGAAGAAGTGGGCAGACCAGGGGGCATCTGAGGGGACTGAGAGCAGGAGGCTTCCCAGGCCAGAGGCAAGCAGGAAGTGGGGCCTGGAGTGGGCTGAAGGAGTTCACTTCCAAGGCTGAATGAATTCTCCAAAAAACGGTGAAGAAAATCTATGCACCCCCTGCCAGGAAGGTCCCTCCTCAGCTCTGGGAAAGCAGTGTGGTAACCTTTCAGGAAGGACCCTCCACCTGGGAGGGGTTGTCAAAGTCAGGGCTACAGGGGGCACCACAATGAGCCCTGGGTCCAGAGGGAGGCTGACGGGGGCCTGAGTGCCAGGAACTGAGGGCTGGCAGCCAGGAGAGAGCACGGGAGGGCACACATTGGCCCAGGGGGGCCACCCTGCAGATTCTGGCAGCTTGTCGACAGACCGACTCTGGGACCCTGCCGAGCTTGTGTTTCAGGTGTGTCCTGTTATCATTAGGGTCATTATTACTAATGAGGATTGTTGTCAATATTCACACCTGCATGTGGATTCCAGGACTCAGAGGCAAGTCCTGGTTCTTCTCCTTTTCTACTGGCAGCTTCCTGGACTCCCTGCCTCTTCCTCCAGATGGTGAGCTGTCTCCAAGTTCAATCCCAAGGCTTCATTCTTCATGCTCCGTCCCCCTCCCCGCGGACATCCCACCACAGCAGCCTCAGTCCCCGACCTCTGTGGGGTTAGATCCATGCCTCCAGGCCTGTCCTCTTGTGGGAGACGAAATTATACTCTAGGGATTTGGAGAGTTGAGGATCAACCATTTCCTGAGCCATAGGTGCCAGGCTCTGTAATATACCTGTCACACAAAAACAGCCCTAGTGCTATTCCATTTTACAGACAAAGAAACTGAGGCTTTGGAAGCTTATTAAATAACTATAAATCCACATCTCTCTGACTCCGAAACTGAGGGTTGTTTTCTTTGCAGATGTGAACATGTATCACAAACATGTATTACAAGTTTTCTTCCTCCTCCCTTCTTTAATTCCTCAAGAAACCTACACAGGAGTCTGCTGCCACCTCAAACTCAGCCTCTATGACGCTGTGATCAGTGGTTTCATCCCATCCTCCTCTGCTCAGTTTCCTGCCCTTGTCCAGGCTCCAGTCTCCTCCTTGGTCCTCAGTGTCCCATCCTGCACATCTGCCTAAAATGCATCCAAGAAGGCTGGGGAGGGCTATGGCCACAGAGGGATGGCAGAAGGCCATCCCGTCCACTCCCCGCCAGCAGGCACAGTGACCACGCCCAGCTCCTCCAGATTCCCCAAAGCAGCCACCATCCCACTTTGCCTGCAGGACCCCACGTCCCCCACGCACCCCTCTGCGGCACATTCTTCCCTATCTAACTGCAAAGAACTGAGTGCAATCAGTTTTGTTTCCGTACACCAGGAATAAATAAAACGGTTACTCCAGATGGGCTGGATGAACACAGAGTGTTAACTCCAGAGCAGGGGTTTCCCAGGTTCCCACCAAATCAGGGGAACAAGCCGTGAGGTGACTCCCTGGGCAGCTTAGTGGACGGGACTATAGATCTGTCCCCTGCCTCCAGGCAGGCCCCAACCTAAACCCATAGGAGTGAAGTAGTTTTTGTAACTCTGGAAGAATCGTGATTGGGTAATTCCCAAAACACCCTTGTTTCCAGTGAGGCAAAATAATAATAATTATCATTATTATGATTAACCCCTCCCCAGCGTCACCACAGTCTGACTGGGCCTAGGGTGGCTGAAATGTAATTGAACAGCATGAATGGTAATAGTCACTCAAAGAGGAGCACGCAGAAGAAAATTCCTTGGGACTCCATATGACTCATGGCCTTGAGAATTAGGGGCTTAAGAGAAGATGACTAGAGGATGACTTCCCAAAGGCTGGGGAGAGAGTCAGAGAAGGAACTGAGACAATGAGGACTCACAAGCATCTCTTGAATAGATCTCCCATGGATGGATGCCCTGGGAGACGTGTGTGCAGATTCTGTGGATGCCAATGCAGGTTTCTGATGGCTACCGAAAGAGTAACCTGGAACCAAGGGGATATAAATTATCTGAATAATTTTTCAGTGTCCTGAGGAACCGGAATTTAGCTCTAGCAAGGCTGGGGAGAGATGGAAAAGGTAGAACTAGGAAGTAGAATGAAGACAATTTATGTAGTATTTAATAGAAGTAGCATAACTTTATGCTGTTTGCATCTCTCTAGAAAAATAGAGAAAAATCAAGACTCTACTTGAGATTCCCATTCTTGAGACAATGCTTGTGTGCCCAGCCGTCTGCTTGCCTGGGGTCCTGCAGTCCACCGAGCTTTTCCAAGCCAGTTGTTAAATGCAGCCATTATTAAAAAGTTTAAATTTCATAAATCTATAACTAAATGATATTAAAGCAAATGTGATAAGTACTCAGAATTCACCACTTCCTGATAAGTTTGCTGCAGTTCACTATTACCTAAGCTCTTAAAGTTATTTATTTCCTCTATTGTATCTGTATCATGGAAATACTATACAATAATGTGCTACCAAACATTTCTCCCGATTCCATGCCAGTGACATCATGTTGGGAACTTGAATTCAGCCATAGTGGAAGCACTGACATTGAAATCAGCAAAGACTACAAATCAGGGCTTCCCAGCCCCTACCCCACCCTCCACCCTACTCCCAAAGCCACTGTTGAAATGTATCACCACAAGTGTTCTCCTCCAGCACTGAACAAGATTTCATGCAGGAGAAATGAACAAAAAAACACCAAGGCGTACCTGAAGCAAAATTTCGGAAACAGAAACTTCCCTCCCTCTTTCTCCTGGGGTGGTAAGTACAGTGATGACTGTGATCTCAGCATTGGATTTAGGAACTCTCTACCTTCCCTGTTGACTCACCCTAACAGGAAGTGGTTCTCAGAGTCTCTCTGAAATCTCTCTTGCTGCTTTTTAATGAGCCTTTCTTGCCAGAGCCTCACTGGTCCTACCTCCCAAATGTTGGCTAAGTCTGATCATGGCTCCCTTGCTCCTGGAATGATGGGGAAAGATGATGTCATTCAACCACCTGCATGGCCAGCTGGCTGCCTCTGTCCCTCAGAAGCTTGCAGGAAGCTGAGCTGGAGGCTCCTCAGACTTGGAGCACTCTCCCCAAGTCATCCTATACCATCCCTGCCTTAAGGCAAAAGCATGCCAGACACAGTGCCCTGCTAAAGATCTCCTTATTTATGACAAGTCATCTTATAGATGCTCATAAATATGACCAAATAAATGAAGGGGTAGATGGTTACTGGAATTCTCTTCTCTTCTCCGTATTTAATGTCCTTTCCCCATACCCCTTTCCATTCCCAAGAACTCCCCAACTTCCCACCCCCAAGTCAGTTGTCTCTGGTTCCTTTGGCCTCATTACTGTCTCTCATATCTTCCAGCAAGCTCTATAAAAGCAGAGCTGGCAATGCCATCACCCCTTTGCAAATACCCAAGGCATCTCGAGGGTTTCCTAGTTATATGTTACTAAGAAGGGTTTGAGGGCTTCCTAAACCCATGAGGCCCATGCACACCACACACTTCCTGTGGCCCTAGAATAGTAGCAGGAAAAATGAGGAAGACTAGCTTCTCCTCAAGAGAAGAGACAAAGAGAGAAGAAAGATGCTGGGCTCTCAACAAGCAGGCAGCTGGGGAAAGGCAGGTAGAACAAAGTGCCCTTGAAGTGTTCTTCTGAACGCCACCTACCAACTAGACCAGACGAGTGTCCAGCGTGTGCCTGTTGCAGCCATCCCGTATGGAGTGCAACCACTTGATCCACCAGAGGCAGCTGAATTAGAAATGCAACGCTCTGGGGTCCCTAAGAGTAGAACACGGATCAAGGGATAAAAGCTATATGGGGACAAAAACTGGATTCCAGAGAAATATTCTGTTGAATATCGACAGTCAGAGGCCAAGTGGCATGTCTTGGAAGGTAGTGAGCTGCCATTAGAGGTTTTCAAGAAGAGGTTGAATATCCTTTGTCAGGAATTCTATAGAAAGAATTCAAATACCAGAGAAAGAGCCTGCTGTCCTGGAATCAAACATGCCTAGATCAAATCCTGAATTATTATCTTTGTTGCCTTGGTCAAGATACCTAATCCCTCTGAGCCTCAGTTTATTCACTGGTATAATGCGAATAATACACAATCTCATAGTGCTAAAGTAAGGAATAAATAAGACAAAGAATACAAAGGCAGCTGACAGTAGGTGCTCAATAAATGCCAATCCCCTTCCCACCAAAAGGGGGGCCAGGTTAGCTGGCCTTGAAGGTCTTTCTACACAAGAGAGTATGACTCTGAAACCCTTGCCGGCCATTAAGAAAGAAGGTATACATCTAAAGAGATAAAGAAGTCAGGATTAGGTCAATGAGGGGAAGAGAAAGAAGGATGCTGAGAACAGTCAGGGAATATTTGGAGGTCATCCATGACAGATTCCCGTTCTACCATCTGCCCTTCTAGAATAAAATGGAAAAGTAGAAGTGGGGATTTAAAGTCCAGCCTAAGGGGCCTCAGTTTCCCTATGTGTATTGTGAATGAGTAGGATTTTTTTTATTGAACTTCACTTCATCATACTCAGTAAACACAGCTCATTGTAAATCCAGCCAAGGCCTTTCCCAGCAACTCATTCAGCTATGTAAAACCATGATACTTGCAGACTGCACTTCCCTTTCCAAGGACAGGGGGCCTGGGAGAATGAGATGACTAGTTTTATGTGACAATGGGTGGGAAACAGCAACAGTATTGACTGACACCAAATTAAGGGGAAAATATGAAGGAAAAAAATCAAAGACAGAGAGACAGAAACACACACATACGCACACACACAGAGAGAGAGAGAGAGAGAGAGAGAGAGAGAGAGAGAGAGAGACTGCAAGCTGCCAAAAGAATAATATTGAGATCCTGGTTTTGGTAGAACTAAATATAACATCTTATATTTCCACAGGCAAACTGCCCAACAAACTGAAATGGAAATATTCCAATGTTATTACAGACAAATATAATGTCAACAGCTTGCTATCCTTATCAATAATTCATTATAAACCAACTTAAAGACCTAAAGTACATTGAAAACATCCACCAAAATATTCCAGAGTTAAGTGTAAACAAATAGCATGAAAGAATCAAGAAGGATGACCAAATAAAATCAAGGCAGGCCAAACAGATGAAGCACAAAGTCCCAAAGGATTCTGAGGGAGGGCTAAGCTAAGTTCTAACATCCCTGAAACAAGGGACCAAAGTGGTAAGGTAACACATCCAAGTTTTAGCGTGGAAATAATGGAACCCACACTACATTTCCTGATACACGTCTCCTAGCAGATAGGAAACTGCTGATTTCAGGAACTGTATCCTTTCAAATATATTTTTGCTACCGAAGCACCCATCTCACTAAACCAGAGAGGACTTCTCACACCTATTAACTCAAACAGTGCTTACTGGTTTCCACCTTTTAACCGAAAATGACTAAAACATCCCCCAGAATACACACCAAATATAACAAGGTGTTTAACAAGTGCTAGTAGATACTAAACAGCTCTGTTAATCCCTATCCAGGAATGGCTGACTACTTCAGGGTGTAAGAGTATGGAGCTAGATCTCTGATAGGCCTAGATTCTAACCACAGAATAATCCATCATAAGGCAGTAACTGTAAAATGTCTAAAAACTTTTTTTTCCAATATAAAGTAATGCTGCCGCATTCATTCATTCACTTGGTATTTCTCAAACATCCCTGTGGAATGGGCTCTGCGCAAATTGACCAACTGTAGACAAGTGAAGAAAAGAAAAGCCATAAATTAGCTGTTGTAAACCCCCAGCAGCATCCAGGTGAAGGGAGTTACCATACTCTCCGAGTTCCATAACATAAGCTATATCAACATGATTCCCCTCCTTCCTGCACTTCACCCAGCGCCCTAGAACTGTGGCACTTCGTTTTTTCTAATCTAAGAGGTGGTGTCTTATTTTCACATGTCCTTGTTTCTATCTCCCGGAGTGCCTGTGCCTTCTGTGATCCAAGGACAAGTTTCCTTTCAGCTTTCAACAACATACAATGCCTCCCTAGACCTTCAGAGCACATTTTTCTCAACAGACAACATTGACACGTGAAAAATTTGAATATTTAGAAATGGCAAGTCTATTGCACTTTGCCAGTTCTCAAATATCTATGATCGCTGATTTTGCGGTCATAGATATTCCTCATTCTTTTTTTCTGTTTTCCTTATCTGCGCACTTTGTATGTTGTTGAAAGGAATAGCATTGGATGGATCCTTCCAGCTCTGACTGCCAGAGATCCAAGCAGAAGGAGGGAGGAGAGGGGCGGTGATGGGGCGGAGCGACAGAAGCAACCCTCCCCGGCCCTGGGCAGGACCCGCTCCCCCCGACCCCGGTGCCCAACCTCCGTGGAACGCGGACAGCCACTTCGGACTCACGTCTCAATGTTTCTTTATTGTGCCAACACTGCAGCCTCAGAGCTCAGACCTCACACACAGAACAATTCGTCCAGACGGACCCCCACCCACCCGGCCCCCGGGGCCCTCTGCTTAGGCTGGGGACACCGGGCCTCCGGCCTCAGCCTCTCTAGGACACTGACTCGGCCTCCTCCTCCTCCCTCCCTCTCCCCAGAGCCTTCGGCACCGGGGAGGCGGAGAAGGTTCGAGATCGCCTTCCTGCGCCCTCGCCCGCCCCCTCCCACTTGTGGGGAGGAGGCTCTGCCTCCCGACGCATTTCCTTAGGGAAATGCCTTCACCCCCAGCCGCCTGGCGGCCTGGGGCGAGCGAGGTCGGCACCAGCCCCGACGTGTCCCCTGCTGCGGGCAGAGGGCCCCGCGCCCTCCTCCCGGCCGGGGCGCAGCCCGGCGGCGCGCTCACACCAGGAGACCGTTGTTGCATTGCGCCAGCCCCTCGGCAGAGTCGGCCGGCTCCGCGCTCTTGACCTTGACGTAGACCGGGGAGGGGCCCGCTTCGCAGGCGGCGGCGGTGGTGCAGGGCGCCAGGGCCACGTCCTCGGGGCCACCGCAGGGCGGAGGCGCGTACTTGCGGCGCAAGGAGCGGCTGACGTTCTGCGTCGGGTACCCCAGAAGGTGGGTGACGCGGCTGCCGCACCCGCTGGCCTTGCACCCGGGCGCCACGGCGTCCTCTCTGTGGAAAACAACAGGCGGGCGGGTGAGCGGGCTGCTCCGCGGCGCGGCGTGGGCACGGCCTGGGCAGAGCCGGGGGCTCTTGGCAACCTCTGGTCTCCCGCACCTCCCTCCGCCTGCCCTCGCCTCTCTCCCTCGGCCTCGACCTACTCTCCTTCGTGTCCCTTCCTGGGCCGGCGACCCTGCAGCGGTCCCGGAGCCACCATCCCCATCCTCCAGACAGGGCTTGCCCGCGCGAATCTGGACAGCCCAGCAGGCAGCCCCCTCCAGGCCCCTCCAACCCCTTTCTGATGTTTCGCAGGTCGACCGCCTCTAATAGGGATCCAGAAGGAGCTGTTTTCCTCTTCTTTTCTTAGCTAGCCCTGACCTTGCAGGCGCAATCTCTCTCTCTCTTTCTCACCTCCTGCCCCTCAATCTTCTCCATCTTTCCCTCCATCCCCGAGGCATTGCAATCATTAGCACTGCTAGACTTGTTCTATTTTTATTTCTAGTTTGCTTCTAATATAAGTTATTAGCACTATTCTTATTATTAGCTCTTCTTAAATAATCACGTCAGAGTTCTCACCGGCGCAGTACAGGGGAAACAAAAAAACACAGGCCCTGCCCTCCAGGAGCTTACAGTCTAGACAAGACAGACAGGTGCAAGGCAGGAGGGAAATGGAGGGCAGGAAGCAGAGGTGAAGACGGGGGTGGGAGGGGGAGGGAAAAGCCATGCGTTGGGTTGCAGGTCGACATGCCGCAGTCCCAGCACTCCGTGGCGATGGCGGGCAGGGTTGGGGTGGGGGGCCCAGCCGGCCGGTGGCAGGCAGGAGTGAGACGAGCAGGGCGCCGGTTCCCCGCCGCACAGCAGCATGCAGCATGCATCAGGTTTTACCTGATCTCACTAGCCAAGTCGCCGCAGGCCCCTCCGCCGACCCCGCCGCCGTTGCTGTAGCCGAAGGCACCGCGGGCGCCGCCCCCGGAGCCCCCGCAGCAGCAGCAGACGAGCCCCCAGATGCCTACGGCCAGGCAGCCCAGCGCCAGCAGAGAGCCCAGCACCGCGCCGATGATCAAGCCTACACGCCGGTTGTCTGTGGAGAGAAGTGGAGGCCGGTCAGGCTTTCTCACAGCATGGCAGGTGCCTGAGGACCAGGACCAGGAGGTGCCAGGGCAGGGGTTAGTGGGAAAGAGGCAGAGGGACCCAGGGGGTCTCTGAGCCCTGGGACAGGCAGTGGGGAAGATGTGGGGAGATGCAAGTCAACCCCTTGTGTCAGCATGCTTCTCCCAGGGCTTCCAGCACGGCGCAGAGTGGAAGCTGTGCTGGGAAGGTGAGACCCCGCTCCATAGGGGTAATCGTACCCACTAATCTTGGCCCACTTGCAGGAGAGGACCTGGGAGTCCCCATTGGCAAATGGATGGCAGTGGAAAGGCAGAAGCAGCTGAGGCTCCGAACTAAAATCCAGCCATCTCCAGTTCAACCCTCCCAACCACCCAGCCCCCAAGGCTGCTGCACCTACCTGAGACCTTCACCTCCACCACGCAAACACTGTAGCCCACGTTGTTGGCCACTGTGCACTGATACAGCCCATCATCCGCTTTGGAGATATCCTTCAACACCAGGTCCCCATTGTTCAGGCCTGAAAGTGAAGTGGAGAGGCCTGGTCTCTGAGAGCTCCCACCCCAACCTCAGTCCCTGCAGGGTGGGGAATGGGACACCCATTCCGGAAGAAGGGAAGACTTATGTATGTATATATGAGTCCCTACACACACGCGCGCGCACACACACACACACACACACACACACATCCACTCCACTCTCCAGGAGAGTCACCTTCCCCCTGCTGTGACGGAGATGCAAGGAAGACCCCTCTCCCAGCAGCAAGACAGAAACACCATTAATTCACTCTGTGAATTTAGGGAAATAGGTCCCCTCTCTGAGCCTTGGTCTCCTCCTTTGCACAGTGAGGACAGGATTAGACCAGTGGAACTCTAAGATCCCTCCTAGCTCTATTATTCTTTGGTTGAATATTTTCAGCTTCTCTGTGTGCTAGGGGCTTTACACACCTCCCCCCCCCATTTAATCCCTGCATGCTTATGAAAGGTATATATTAGTATATATAAAGTATTCCCTTTCCATATATGAAGAAATCAAAGCACAGGGCGGGTGAGCCGCTTGCCTTAGACTTGCAGCCAGTCAGTGTCCCTGCCAGGATTCAAGCCCAGCTCTGCCTGAGACTCTCCACATTTGCCTTATCATCTCCCCTCAATAGTAGCTGCTAGGCCTCAGTGCTGTGGCTTACGCCTGTAATCCCAGCACTTTGGGAGGCTGAGGCAGGTGGATCACCCGAGGTCAGGAGTTCAAGACCAGCCTGGCTAACACAGTGAAACCCTGTTTCTACTAAAAATACAAAAATTAGCCAGGTGTGGTGGTGTGTGCCTATAATCCCAGCTATCTGGGAGGCTGAGGCAGGAGAATCACCTGAACCTGGGAGGCAGAGGTTGCAGTGAGCCGAGATTGTGCCATTGCATTCCAGCTTGGGCAACAAGAGCAAAACTATGTCCCATATATATATATATGTATATATATATATATATATATATATGGCAGCTGCTGGGGCAGGCACAAAGGGGGGGTCTCCTGCAGGGGTTCCAGGTTTGACTTGATGCCACTGATAACTCGAGGAAACCCCAACAAGGTCCCAGAGTCCCTGATCTTCCACTCATCCCCACACCGCCCTCACTCAGGGCCCTCTCACCTTGGTTCATGGAGCTGAAGAAGGACTCCTGGTAGGACACCTCGGAGTGGTAGCTGTGCTGGGAGATGTAAGACCCAGCTCGATAGGGGTAATGGTGCCCACTGATCTTGGCCCACTTGTAGGAGAGGGGCTGGGAGCCCGCATTGGCATAGCACTTCAGCACCACGTCGTTGCCATATGTCATCTGGCCTTCAGTCCAGCACACGGGCACTGCGGGTCTTGCTGCAAGGAGGCAGACAATTGTAAGCCAAGGCCCAGCAGCGAGACAGAGCCAGGCTCACAGCGACCAAGCTGCCCTTGGCTCTGAAGCCAGGGGAAGAGGAGCTCAGAGGAGTCTTGCCATACCTTGGACAGTGACAATGACCTTCCGGGTGGCCATGGTGGTCTTCTTCACCCGGCATTCATAGGTGGCCGTATCAGATACCTGCAGGTTCATGAGGTTGATGGAGGCATCGTACTGGCTCGGGTCCGAGGCTGCAAAGCGGACCCTCTGCTGCAGATGGGGAAGGTTGCCATGGTTGATCCTCTTGTCCTGGTAACTAAGGAACTGTGAAGAGGAGAGGAAAACAGGTGGTGAAACAGGCAGAGCCAAGGAGGGCCATGTGGGTTTGGCTGCTTTAGGCAATTCACTGAACTTCTCTGAGACTCTGTTTTCTCAACTGAAAAATGAGAATGAAGATGCCTGATCCACTGACCTTTTACAAAACTGAGGAGATCAAACAACTGGAAAAGTATACGGTCAGACTGGGAACTTTTTGAAGGCAGAGACTATACCTTATTTTCCCTTTAGATTGGGATGGGGGGAGGAAGACTAACTGGCTAGCTTAATTCACAATTGCAGAGCTCTCATCCCCATTGCCCCATTCCCTGAGAGGCCTGGGGGGAGGTTCAAAGACTTAGTTTTCTTCTCCCCTTGGGATGTTGGCTGTCCAACAGGTAGACATCAGGAAGCATAGAGGAAGAAGATCCCAGAGCCCAGCACTCACCACGTTCTCCCGGTGGTGGGCGGGGTCTGAGTTGACCTGCATCCACTCGATATCCAGCCCATTGGGACCATAGTCCTCAGGGTCCAGGACATAGGGGCAGCCCAGCCTCACATTATCACCTTCCGCCAGGTACAGGACCTCCTGTCCATCCCCATTGATCCGCACAGCAGACAGCAGTGCTGGGGGAGGGCAGAGAAAATGAGTGGTAGGAGCAGAACTAGGGCTTCAGGAGGAGTCGCTATCATTCCTTCCCTTCACATCCGCTGTTCACTGCACCCAGAGGTCAGGAGTGCTTTCATAAAAAGGGCTGTTTTTAGTGGGTGTGTATATGCGTGTGCATGAATTGTTATAGGCATATATAGCTATATGTTACATATATAGCTGTTACATATGCTTGTATGTATATATGATTGTGTATGCATGTATGAATATGTACACATGCACATTGTATGCTTATGACTATCTGTGGCTGCCTCTGTGTACTGTGAGGTTATTCATGTGTATGACCATGTAGCATGTCTGCTTGTATATTTATGTGATAGTGTGGATGTGCTTGTGTGTGTGTGTGTGTGTGTGTGTGTGTGTGTGTGTGTGTGTGAAGGCATGTGGTACACACAGAGGTGTCGAATGCTCTGATGGAAGAGTCTGGCTGGTTAAATGTCACCTGTCTGGGCTGAGTGAGGTGCTCCTGTCCACAGGCAGCAGGGTGGTTACAATGGCTTCTGGGGCTCCTCCCCAGCCTGAGAAGCCGAAGACTGCGTGTTGTCCATGTGTGTATGGCATGTGTGTACACACGTGTGTATGACAGCGTGTGTCTGTGTCTATATGCTTCTATGTGGTTCTGTACAGTGGTATATGACCATGTGAGGCTATGTAAGTGCTTAAAAGTGACAGTGCGTGCTTGTGCATGACAGTGGGCAGCTGTGACCAGGAGCCTGGCTGTGTTCATGTGTGATAGTGAGTGATGGCGTGTGCCTGGGACTGTGGCCACAGGTATCTGTAGGACAGTGTGACTCTTTCGTGACTACACAGCACTGTGGACTGTGTGTGCTTCCTCTTATGTGATTGTGCGGCTCACATGCAGCCGCCCCCACAAGCTGGCTCCCAGTGAGGCCCCTCCTGCCACTGAGTCAGTGGCAGGCAATTCTGGGTGAGGAGCCGGGATCCCAGGACCCAGGAGCTCAGGACTGAGCTCCTGTCCCTCCCTACCCTGAAGCCCCAGGCAAGCCTATCCCCAACCGGTTGGACATAGAGAGGGATAAGACCAGGGGTGCGTAGCCAGGGCCCCACCCTGGACACTCTGCACTCCACCACCCAGTCTCTAGCAACCCTGCCTCTGCAGGCCCCTCACCAGGCCTCACACACTCTCCGTCCGCGTTCTTTTTTGAGTCAACATGTCTTCTGGAGTCGCAGCCCCAGGTCTCAGTAATTATTCTATCATTCTGTGGCTCAGGACCATGTTTACACTTAGAGATCTCACACATATACACATACAATTACACAGTCACAGGCAAACAAATCGACCTGTGGCCCACTCTTACAAGCCTTCAAAATGCAGATACATACCTAGGTGGCCCCACCTTCCTACACACAGAGACACTATTAGATTCATACAGACACAGACACAATCTGCACACAAACACAGAACATACTGATTCAAACGACACACCCACTGTGTATTCATATAGTCCCTGTGTGTGTTCATTCAAGACCAAACATATCCATGGAAGCCCTGCCAGGAAGGCTTAGCCTGGCTTCAGCGAGGCCAGCAAGGGCACGTTCACACCCTCAACACCTCAGGGATCACTAAACTTCCCTCCTAGGAACACTGGCTGGGCCATCAGCCCTGTCCTAACCCGGCTAGACTCCAAGGTGGCCCAGAGCAAGCAGGCTGGCTGCTGGGGCTCTAACGGGACCTGGTGATGCCTCTTCAGCCCCAGGCCAAGAGAACGACTGCTCATTCCTGAGATAAGGATCCTGCTGCCATCTGCCAGATCCTGAGGTGGCTCAAGGCAAGCCAGGGATGAGCCAGAGCTCGGCTGAGAGCAGAGGCTCCACCCTGGAGAACAGCCGCCAGGAGCACCCACGCAGGGAGGACTCTCTCCATGCCATAGGAGCTTGCCAGGCAGGAGGGTAAGCATTCAGGGAGAGGGGCTTGGGAAGGAGGGACAGGCTGGAAGAAAAGCACCTCCGCCCTGCACCAGGCTGAGAGCTTCTTCAATTGTCCCAGGCCGGGGAGTCACCCAGCTTTTCTATCTCCTTAGAAGACTTCTCAGCCTCCTCCCAAGGGTTCCAGACTTTCCACACCCCTCCCTCTGCTTGGGAAGTTGTTCCTAGTGTCTCGCCTTGGTTCCTCTTGCTGTGGCATTAAGGAAGTACTACAGGGAATGAGAGGGGAGAGGCTAGAGAGGGAAGAAAGGCAGGGTGGAAGAGAGAGCTGGATGGCAGACTTGAGGAAAGAGGGGAATGGGGGAATCACACAGCGGTGATTCTTTGCCCCCCACAAAAGCACCAGAGGCTGGCCATGCTTTATGGGGTGTCCTCTCAATAGTGGTGCCTATTCTCTGCCTGTAAATTCTTTCTGAATCTTCAGGTGCTGCCAGAACTCCTGACCCTCCCTCTGGAGGTGAGGGAGTGGAGAAAAGGCAGCTCCAGCTGAGGGTATTGAAGCGTGAATGCAGTCAGCACTGAGTGTCATCACACGCCCATAGACGCACCACACAGGGGGATGTCCAGGTCCCCACGACACAGCCAGAGCCTCCCGAGTGGACTCCGCCAGCCCTGCTCTCACCAGACAGAGAGGGCTGCGGCTATCCTGCCAGAAATGTCATCATTCCCACACAGGTGCACACACCCACACACTCACATAGACACTCACGCTCACACAAAGGCTGAAAATGCCCCCCACTTCCCACGTTCCTCTTTCGTGCCCCTTCATCCCAAATCCAGATCGCAGGAGGGACTCAGCGATGTCGGCACACAATGTCGCTTGGCGGGACTTGCCACAACCTGGGCGGGAAGATACAATGTCCAAACTTGAGCCCTGCTCTGCAGACCTGTCCTGGTGGGGCGAGAGGTTTCTGGAGTTGCCATCTCTGCCACCCTCAGGCCTCATCCTGGCAGGGGCACTATCCTGGAGCTCTCATAGCACAGGGGAGCTCTCACCGGCCACGATGGCAGCAATCACTCAGACTTACACCAGCCTTGGTCTCTTGCTCTTTCAAGGCAAGTGACTCCCCTGCCCCTTGGGTCTGGCCTTGGAAGAGGAAAAGTAGCCCTGGGAATAGCACACAGTGTGATGAAAATTGATCTTTCCCAGGCTCCTCCTCGGCCCTCCTACCCCACCTCCAGCTCCCGCAGAGTAATCCCTGTCCTCCCAGGCACAGCACGAGCTTGCAGGGCACCTGCACACATGTGTGAGCCCGACAGGGGACATGCAAAGATCCACTCAAAGACCTTCACACCACAGACACCCACCCTGATCCTCAGGCACAGGCTCTCCTGGGCGGAGGACCCCTGGCAATACCCACATCCGGCTGCAGCAGGGCAAGAGTGGGCAGCACCCCTCCAGGCATCTCAGGCAGCTTCAGGCTCCCCTGTGAGCCCTTGCTGCACGTTCCTGCCCACCTAGCCTCATGCTGGCTGTCCCTGCCCCTGCCCAGCCCCGTACCTGGGCTCAGGCACACGAGCAGCAGGTGGAATGCTCCTCCAGCTCCCATGTCTCTAGGCTCGGTGTTTCCTCCGCCTGGGCTGGGTATCCCGTGGGCTGGTGGTGGTGGGTGTGAGGGGGTGGGTGGAGGGAGGGGGGAGCTGAGGGCCCAGACACTGCCCAGGGTGGCAGGAAGGTGCAATGAGTGCCCGGCTGGGGAGCAGCCGGAGTTATTTCTATGGGAGGGAGGGGGCCTCATCCCCGCCTTGGGGAGGAGCCCCAGGAACCCTAATTAGCGGGGTGACAGGGTGGCCTACCCAGGTATTACCCAGCCCTCACCCAAGCTCTTCCCTGTCCCAAGAGTGGCACAGGGCAGCCAGCGGAACTTGTAATTAGGCACCTGTTAAACTTCACTTCCTCCTGGCCACATCCTCAGGGTGACAACAGTCACCTCATTACAGCTTCCAAGAGCTTCCTTCACCACTCATTTGCTGCCTCCTTCCCTGGGGGAAATGGGGAAGAGGAAGGAGAAGCCAGGCTTGGGAGGAAGAGTGGCCAGGCCCTGAAGAGTTAATCCTGATCCCAGGCCATAAGGTTCCCCGGGAACATCCAGCCCACCTTCCCCAGAGGCTGCAGGGCTTTTGAAGGGAGTCAGGCCTCTTGAGCTGAAAGAGGAGAGAAGGGGTGTGTGCAGGAACACAGTCTCCTCCTGGCTGGCCCCTCTGGAACTGTGCTCCCCATTCATACCTGACTCAAGACCATCCCCAAGTATAAGGGACCCCTGGGAGCAGGGGTGCTATAGGGGATCCAGGGTGACTGATGGACTAGTGCGGGAGTGTTGGAGAGAACAGTGCCAAGAGGACTGACAGGGGAAGGGGGTCCCTGTGGAAGGTGTGCACCCCTCAGCAATGTGTGTGTGTGGGAGGAAGGCAGGTTGTCTGTGCCAGGGTGTCTCTCTGAGGATGGCTAAGCCCCTCTGAGTGAACTTCTTGAGGGATCGCTTGGTGTCCTGGCTTCTCTGCCCAGAAAGAGGGGCCGGGTCTTGGGGCTGAATGCAGTCCGAGTATTAACTGGGTCCTTGAGACCAAGGACCCTCGTAACCTGGACTGGTCATCAGGCTGACTACGCCAGCACAGTTCTGGGTAGGTTGGCGCTGGGGTGGGGAGGGTCCTGGCAGGTGGCGGGGGGGCAAGTGGAGGGCCCTCCTTGTTGGCTGGTCTAAGGGGGACAGGACATGCCTATGCCTCTCTGGACTCCATGGTGGGAGTCAGGACATGAGTGACCCCATTCAGTAGCTCGACTCCCTCAAAGGAGTCAGGGACGGTCCCCCTTCCCTACCATGGGGCACAGAAAAGGCAGAGAGGGGAGAGTGTTGGGGAGGATTATGGGGCACAGGGATGTTGCCAGGGCCCATCACTCGGGGGAAAAATAAGACAGAAAATTAAGGAAACACAAGGAGTCCACGCGTCTCTGCGTTCCAAACCCCTGCACCCAATTCCCAACAATAACAGGGCACTCTGAGACCTGGCAGATGTACACAATGAATATCTTTATTTCCTTATTTATTTTTAGGTTTATGGGATTTTCCTGCACCCTTTGAAGAGCAGGGATCATTATCCCCATTTTACAGATGGGCAAACAGAGGCCTGGAGAAACATAAGGATTCAGCCAAGGCAGCTGGGGCCTGAGGTGGGATACCCGGTACCCAGGCTGTCAGTCCAGAGTGGTCCAAAGAGAGGTCTCGGTGATCCTGTGGATTACTAGACCGACTCACAAACAAGAAGCATGGAAGGTCAGGGTGGGTGGGAGGGAAAACAGGTGAGACCATGAATAGAGAAAGCAGAAAGGTGGTGGCTTTATTAAACTGAAGGACAGGCTTGGGATGTAACTGGGTTCTGGATGTGGGCTAATGTTAGAGCTGGGGTTAAGTTTGGGGTTAGTTGAATTATGAATGAGGCTGAGGTCAGATTTGAGGTTGGGATTAGAGCTAAGGCTGGGATTCGGGTTAGAAATACAGCCAGAATTGAGGCTAAGGTTTATGGCTGGGATTTGTGTTATGATGAGGAATAGAGTTTTAGTTTCATTGACAGCTCTGCCTGGGGATACAGTTAGAGCTAACTCAAAGGCTGGGTTTAGATTGATTTAGGATTGGGGTGACCATTGGGTTGGAACTGAGCTTGAGACTCACGTTGAAATAGGCTATGGTTAGGGTTGTAAACGGTTTAAAGACATGTAAGCAGCGGGAGTTGATGAGAATCGAAGATGAGGTTTTATTTCTGATATGGACAGACTTCAGCCTCCATCTGCTCCATCCAGGTTTGGCTAGAATTTTCGCGCCTTAGTGTGGGGAGACTACCAGTGGCACTTGTTGACTGGGGTCTCAAGACTTTGAGGAGGAAGCCAAAGGTACAGGAGCCCATCTAAGGGGTATGAGACCACCAAATCCCATAGCACGGGGACCCTCTGAAGTCCTGCTCCACTACCAAGCTCACCAGCTGGCCAAGCTCCAGGAAAAGCATTTGGGGAGGAGACGCAGGAAGCTATTGACCATGAATGGGGTTCTGACACCAAACTGAACTAGAAGATCCATCAGAGGGAGTCTTACTGGGTGGGGAGGAGGGATGGTCTGCATTGGAGTCCTTAGGAGACGGGAGTTGGGAGAAACTAAGGGCCCACATGCTTCTAGAACAGCTCCTTTATGGAGCACCACATGGGGGTCCTTCAAAGCCTGAAAGGGCAGAGTGCCATTTTGTTCCCCTTGACCTTCTGAGGCTTAATTGCTACCTCCTTGCAATTTGAATCCTGTAAAAGAAGCTGTCAGCCTTCCAGCCCTATGCCCTGAGCCCTGCAGGGTTTTCAGAGCGGGCAGCAGTGGGGAGGCTGTGGATGGAATGAAGGCACTGGGGTGTCAGCATAGTTTCCATAGCACATGTCGCGATCCCGCGGTCCCCTCTCTCTGGGAGCAGCCACAGTCTGTGATTCTCTCTGGGCCTTAACCTCAGCAGTGGAAGAGGGCCCCACTCCTAGGAAGACCCCATCCCAACTCCTCCCTCTCATTTTTCCCAACCCAGTCTCCACCCCAAACACCTCACTTCCCCACCCACTTCCTTTTCAGGTTTTATAAAGGTCTGGATCTAGGAGACTACTGGGGTTCCCTCTGTGGCCCCAGAGAGAGAGAAGAAAGATTGGGAGAGAGTGATGCGTTATAGGGCAGAGACAGAGACAGAAACACACGTGGTCTAAACAGCCCCTCCAGAGGCTCAGAGGGAGACAGAGGAGGCAGAGGGCCCAGGCCATGAGCTGAGTCCCAACACCAATTTCCAAAAGGGCCCTTTGCTTTTTCCTGGGAAATCCGTGACTCTCCAGGGAAGAACAGCCCTGGTTGGGGTGGTATCAGCTTCTATTCTAAGACATTCACAGAAAATCAAACACAGTCCTAGAAAGGAGTAAACAGGGAGATACAGGAGGTAGAAAGAGGCTGGACAGAAACCCAGGGAAGTCCAGAGACTGCTTCCAGGATGAGTGCAGCCCAGCCCCAGAACATTTTTGGGAAGGGCAGGCAGAGGGCTTGGCCTGCCTACTCTTCCTCCAAAGTTCCTTTCACGGCAACTCCACCCAACTCCCCTAAGCCGTGCCCTCCTCTGCCTGGACCTGCCCACCCCAACCCCTCTCAGGGGCCGCCAGACTCCCTGGGCTCAGGCTCAGTCAAGCTCCCCACAACCCCTAGCTTGGCTGGCACTGCAACTTGACTTTCTAGGCTCCTCCCCACACAGTCAGCAAGCTCCTCAGCCCCTCTCCCAAGTCCCCATGCAGCCCAGGACTCGCCCTGCAGCACGCAGGGAGGAGTTGTCCTGCAGAGGAAACCTCTGAGGCAAGACCCTGGGAGCAGCAGCAGTGAGACACTATGGATAGGCAAAGTCACAGAGAAGCCAAGGAGCCTTGCAGCTGCTGTCTGTCCACCCGGCTTTCAGCGACGATTTGGAGGTGGAGGTCTGCCAGGTGAGGCCATGGTTGCATGAGAAGGTCAGGGGCTGCATGGGTGGTGCTGGGACATCAGGTTCTGGTTACGGAGAGAGATGAGATCGACGCGTGGGGTTAAGTTTGAGGGTGTGGATTGGGTTCAAAACTGAGGCTCAAATCAAGGCTGGCAGGGAAAAGCTGCGAACACAGGTGACACAGGGACTCCCCAGGCCCTCGCTCAGGTTTCCCAAGCCTCAATGGTTCTGACTGGTACACTTCAGAAAAAGCGGGATTCTAGGAAGAGCCTGGATATGCCCATATCTCCCCCATCAAGCAACGTCCTGAAACTGACAGAAGAGCAAGCAGCACACACACAGTCCCCATCAACTAAAGGAGTGACTGGCGCTGTCACTACATCAGCAAAGCACAAGAGCAAAGGGAGGCGACTGAACACCACCAACTGAACTGTTAGCAAGAAAATGAGTGGACGCACGAAGAAATCGCTTGAAAAGTGTATGTGATTTCCTGATGACAGACTTGAGCAAGAATGAAGAGACTCTGAAGATAAAGGTGTCTTCACCTCGCCAAGATCAGCCACATCCTGCAGACCCTCCATTCATTCAGTAAGCAGCCAGGCATTATGCTAGGTCCTGGGGAAATGGCAATTAAGGAGACTCAGTCTCTGTTCTTACAGAGAACCCCATTTGATGGGGAAATGGTTCCTGGCCTGCAATGTGGTAAGCTGCAGTAAAACGTGGGAGGCCGCTGGCCTCGTGGCAATGATGTGTAAGCGGAGATCTGAAGGATAACTAAAACGGCGTGCCAGAGAAAAGAGTAGGGGGTGGAGCGAAGTGGCCAGGGGAATATTTCTGGGCTCGGTAGTAAGCCAGGTCCCTGCCAGACACGGACTGAGAAGAGCAAAGCCAGGAGTGACCGCTGATGATTATTCTTTAACTGAGGAAGGAAGATCCTTGAGAACAGAACCTCTTGGGACCTTCTACTGAGAACACCAGAGCACCTCACAGGGATCAGAGCCAGGCCCGTGGGTGGATTAAGCAACCAAAATTGATTGTCCTGAACCATGTGTCTGTCTGTTTACGGAGAGAGAAACTGTGATGAATTAATCCACAGGTCCAATGGGACTTTGACTTAATTTGTAGAAATAAAATTTGCTTTTGATTTTGTCATCTGGATCCCCCAAACACGTATCCGCAGTGGGGAACTGTGGTCCCCCTCAACCCACAGGGTGGCCCCGGGCCTGCCCTGCCCCGCTGACAGTCGCCCAGGAAGGTGTGTGAGACAAAGCTGCAGCCAGTGTGTGTCTCCTTCGGAGCCCGTCCTGACCAATCCTCTCTGCCCTCTGCTTGTTTTGTGTTGCCTGGACACTGGGATAGAAGGCATCAAGGGGAAGGTGGTGCCACAGGGGCGGGGTTCAGAGCCAACACAGCTCTGCCAGGGCTGCAGGGACAGCGGAAGTATTACCTGGCAGAAGGGCAGCAGGCCCAGCCTAAGGGATAAAGTTGAAGATTCCCCACTTCCCCCAGTTTCCTCCCCTCAACAACCCCTCCCTGAAAAGCTTGGCATAGACCTGTGCTTCCAGAATGACAGGCGCTTCCCCTCAGGGTCAGGCTGCACGGCGGCCGGGGTAGGCGGTATCTGAAGAGAGGCTGTGTAAAAAGAGCCTGGCCCTGTCTGGTGTGGTCCCAAAGAGCAGAACTGGGTCCACGCATTGGATTCACAGGAAGACATATTGACTCAATATGAAGAACCTTCTGGACATCAAGGCTGATCCGAGATGGTTTGGGTTGCGTTTTGAGGTAGTGAGCGCCCTGTCTCAGGATACACAAGCTCAGACTGTGCAACTTTTACTGAGACCACGTAACGTCCAGCTGTGATTCGAGTCACAGGTGAGGATGCTTAGGCTTTCAGGGGTAGTAAAGGACATCCCAGCACCCCACTGAATCAGAGTTTGACTAGGGTTTACAAAGGAGATTCAAGCATCAGAGACTCTTTGGGGTCCCTTTCTGCTTTGACATTCTAAGATTTGGTGTCCATCCCCACCACCCAGGCAGGGACAGTCTTCCCAGAGGCCATGCGGAAAAGCTCACTGACTCTGAACAGTTTCTTCCAGGCCCAGCCCTTCTGCTCCCCACTCCCATTCAGCCCCTTCTGACTCTTCTTTCTGGGAGTCTTCTGAGAAAGCATCTAAAATCTCAACCCTATTCCTGTCCAGCCTCAAAGTCGTCAAAGAGCATTGAGTTGATGACGACCCCTCTCTTAAGAGGACATGGGGGAGAATGCAAAAAGAAACACGGAGCTTGCACCTCAAGGAGAATGTCCCAACTGGGAGGGATGTGAGGTTTGGGAGCCAGGAGAGAGGGAAGGTCTGAGCTATTTAAAGCCAGACAAATCAAGAATAACTCTACGGTGTCGGAAATGAGGACCTTCCAGGTAACCTTGGCATGATTTCCCCTGACATATCTCAGAGTCTGGTAGGGGAGGCAGGTTGCTGTAGGCAGCAGTCCAGGACGGGAAGAGACCTATGGTCTGGAGGGAGCCATCTGTTTCTTCCACAGTTCTCCGCCAGCTCCCACTCTTTGCAGACGCAGCAGTTAGGAGGAGAGAGAGGGAGAAACAGAATGAGGAGCTCACTGTCCCTGAGCCTCCATAGCCCACAAATCCAGACTTCTTGTCTGAGGCTCCAGCGTCTCCTTCCACCATCACCTAAAGCGCGGCCACTCTTCCCCACCCTGAAAGCCTTGTCTGTCTTTGAACTGTCTCAGCCCCTTTCATCTGACCCTAATCCAGATGCTTTTACTGAGACCAAGTAATGTCCAGCTGTGATTCAAGTCACAGGTGGGGGTGCTTAGGCTTTCAGGAGTAGTAAAGGACATCCCAGCACCCCACTGAATCAGAGACAGCATGGCCTAGCTACCAGGGCAGCTGCTGAGTCATATCCAGCTGGAGCTCCTTCTGCAGCTGGTGCAAAAGTACTGAGGCCACCTCCAAGCCACAGCAGAACATGGTGTGGGCAGCAGGCACATGTAGGCAGGTAGGGCATAGAGCCCAGCCAGGAGCCAGAGGCACGTGCCTGGGAGGCAGCTGCCGGCAGATCTGACTCAGTGCCCCAGCAGGGAGCCCAACACCTAGATTCTCTAGAGTGGACTAGTTGGGTCTGACATTGTAAGGGCTGGAAGACACCCCAAGGCAGAAGACAGGGGGCTGGGAAATCTTCAAGAAGCTAACATGTACCTTTATACACAAAATAATGTAAAAAATAGATATAAAAAGATCAGATATCCATATAACAATGTCAATAATAGTGTGGGCACAAGAAAAAAGGCTTTATGTTAACAAAGACAGTGCGGCAAACTGTCCTTCCTACTTATCCCTTACAGGCTTTCACACAGCCCTGCGCTGATTCAGTGGCTTAGATGGGTACACAGAGCTGACCATCTCTGCCTCTGAGCATGGGAAGGGGAAAGCTGAAACCTCAGCAGAAAGCACCCCCACAGAAGGTCCAACCTCTAGCAGCAAGACTGAGCCTAGGAACCCACTAGAGTCCTCAAAAGAATGCCCATTTTCTGCTTCCTTTGTCTCCAGGCCCTAGCCTTACTCTGCAGGCTCAGCTCACACAGTGTCCTGCTGGGTCTGCCACCACGATCACACAGCCTAACCCCACCAGCCCCTACTTGAAGCCGGGAGATTTCTCTGTAATTATCCCCACTGCCATTCCTGAAGGAGATTGGTAGAGGGTTTTTAAAAGATGCCCAGAGGTAGTTGACTGGCCTCGGATCCCAACTGCCTGCCTGGCTCTCAAGAGTGTCACGCGTCTTCGAACTAAAGTCTTACTGGTTCGGACTAGTTCAGAGCTCGTGAAAGCCTGGGTGTGGCTTCTCAGCAACCCTGAGAGAAGAAACTGAACCTCTCTTTCACTTCGTGGGCCAATTCCAAGATGGAGAACTCCCAATGAGCGTGGAAGTGTCAACCCTGGGGCAAAGCCCTGAGATTCTCTCCCAAACCATCTTCACTTGCTCAGAGTGGCTACGTTCTCTCTTCAAAGCCCGGCCTTTACTCATGTAACCTATAACTGCCCTGCGTCCAGGCCCAGTCAACAGTCTCACTTTTAGTAAGGCCTTGGGATCGTCCAGGACCCAAAGACCTACATTTTTACCAGCAGTAGCTCTGGTCAAATGCCGGCCTCACTTTCAACCTGTGGTGTCAGCCCATGTTTCTCTAAGTGGGCTCAGAAGTTAGCAGTGGGTGTGGAAACTCCTTTCTCCTCAGCCCTTTCTCCACAGTGGCCCATTTTTTCCAGTCCTGAGACGGACGACTTGGGTGTGAGCCTGGGAAAACTCTAAGCACCCAGGCTCTTTCTGGCTTCCCTGAAAAAGAGGGTCCCCTGGACTAGGCAAAGCCTTGGTTCCTGGTCCCCGCAGGCATCAGCTGAGCAACAGATGATGCTCAGAGAGAACCTCTGCCAGTGTGCCAACTACAGATGAGTCCCAGAATCCTCAGCGGCACTGCTGTGTCTTCTCTGCCATCTGAGGCTGGGTACCACATCTTCCCAAGACCCGCAGGGAGGAAGGCCTCAGCTTCCCTGGGAAGGAGGGTTGCCGGTAGGGGTGCCGAGGCTTTAGGAAAGCCTCTTTCCCAAACAGCTGGTGGGGCGGGGCAACAATCTTTCCTGGTGGGAAAGGTGGAGAAGGCGCCTGGGGAATCCCTGGCTGTCCTGAGGAAAAGAAAGCACAGGCAACAGCTTAGCGACTCTCCCTGGGTCCCATGAAAAGAGGACTCTTGCCTGAGGCCCTCGTAACCTGGAGTTGTAAACATCCAGGACGCACCCAGCAGCTTCCTCGCCTCCTCTAGCACAGGGCCCATCGAGGAAGGCAAGACTGGGGGTGCAGAGGGACCTCATCATCTCAGCAGCTGGAGGAAAGCCCTCTCCCCTTGGCATGCAAAAACAGGACGTGCCTCCATCCCTACAAGCTGGCACTCCAGCCCCAAATGGGCACCTGACAACCAGGTGAGAGGCCAAAAAGGCAGAGATGATTCTGAGCAGCTCGGGGGAGAAAGCAGGAGCAGACTGGCACAAATGAGAGGCTTCTGAGGGGGCCGCTGGGTCTGCTGTGCTCAGTGAGTGTCTGGAATGTGCCTGGCATGTGGTAGGCTCTCAGTAAGTTTCTGAACAAGTGAATGAATGATTATAGTTTGGGGCAAAGAGAGAAAAGTTAAAAACAGAAGAAAATGGCTTGGGAGCCCCACCTATGGGAGTGAGGTGGACTAAGGAGAGCCCAGCCACAGGAGGGGGCTGAGTTTGGGTGAGGGGACTGGACTGGCAGGGTGGGGAGTGCGGGGCTCTGCGTGTGCTCCAGGGGGGGATGGGCCAGTGTCTGTGTTGCAGCACTGCCTGGAATTGAAAGGGTTCCATCAGGAGAGAGCCGAGACAGGCAGAGTGAGCCCCAGGTTCAAACATCACCCCTCCACAGATGTGATCTGAGTCATGCGTGTGATCCCAGTAAGAGCCCTGCCTCACCCAGCCCTGGTGCCTCCTTTGCCTGGCAAAGCCTTGCCCCAGCCCCTCCCTGAGAGGTATCTGTAGCTCACCCTCAATGCCCTGAAATGCCTCTGAACTGGGCGTCGGGGCGGAGCAGAGAGAACATTGTTCTGAAAGTTGACATCCCAGGGGATCACAAAAGGCCAGGAGACACCAGGACAGAGGGACCTCCTTGCTTAGGAGAAACCATCAGAAAAGAGCATCTTCCCATTCCCTTACCCTCAGCACCATGCCACCCACACGCGGGTCCTCCACAACCTATTCTGCTCCACTTCAGTACCCAGTAGCAGCCAGATTCCCACGAGAAAGCCAAGCTATTCCTGAGAGAAGTCAAATCGATTTAATCTGTAACCATGAAATGTCTAGATTAGCGGCAATTATGGACACCCAGAGCCTGGGCAGAATCTGTCCCCCGAAGGCATCCTGGGGACCACGAAGGCTCCCGTCAGTTCACGGAGGTGGCTGGCAGGATGTTAGCTTTGCGCTCAGCTTCAATGCAGTACTTCTCAGGAAGGCCAGTGGCTCTGCCAGGGAAATGCAGGGCAGGTATAAGGAAAGGTGCTGGACCAGACAGGAGGCAGGAGGAGGCAGCTCTGGGTGGAGTTTATAGAACCTGGGGGCCTGCACCTCCCCCCAACCCTGCTCTCACAATCCACCTCCCAAACACACATTCATGTCAAGGCTCCGGCATCCTGCCAAGGAGTTGCCAGACAGCCGGGAAGACCCCATCTCAGGACTTTCTGCTGGAGCCCCCTTTGGAGGGATGAGCCCTGGGTGGGGAGAAGGGCCTCTCCCTGAGCATCTCTGCCATGGCCCCTTCATCCCCAAATCCCACACTTTCTGGCCTGTGGTGCCATCTCTTCGGGGAAGGGCAGAGGATCTGTGGAAGGAGGAGATTCCAGCGCACCTCAGCTCTTCAAGCTTTTTCCTCTTGATGTCATCGATGTGCTCACGCCGTTTCTGGGCCTCCTCTTTGAGGCGCCGGCCCTCCTCAAAGGTGGCAATCCGGTTCTGCACCTGCTTCTGCTGGTTCTCGCGCACCTGGCGCCGCAGCTCGTTGGCATGCTGTAAGCGCCCCGTGGCCTTTTTCTCCTCCTCCAGCCTCTCCTTCTCAATCTGTTCTCTCTGAGCCCTGGGGGAGGGAAACAGGAATAGAATGAACTCAGCTGAGCTGGCCCAGGCCAGGAAAGGTGGTGGGGGAGCCTCCCGGGTGGGCTCTTCCAGCACACATGCCTCACAGACCACAGACCCCTGAGCTCCAGCCCCCCTTTTGTAACTCAAAGATCAGCCCCAAAAGCTGCTGCCTGTGCGTGCCCCCTTCTCCCACCCAGCCAGGACTAGCTCCAGGGTCTCGTGACTGACTGTCATGGGAGGCTTCGAAGGGCCCCCAGCTTGGTTTGGTGCTCTGCTTTCACTGCTTTGAAATTCTTGATAATTTCTGGACTCCACACTCCCTTGCTCCGTCACTCAGGCTGGAGTGCCGTGGTGCTATCACAGCCCACTGCAGCCTCAGCCAGCTGGGCCCAAGCGATTCTCCCACCTCAGCCTCCCGAGTAGCTGGAACCTCAAGAGAGTGCCACCACACCCAGCTAATTTTTTGTTCATTATGTGTAGAGATGAAGTCTTACTATGTTGCCCAAGCTACAGATTCTCAATTTTCACTGGGCACTGAAAATTACGTAGCCAGCCTTACACCCAGGGTTTCACTGGGAGCTACTGTTTCTACCCCTCCCTGCTAACAATGCATAACTCCTCTCCAGCTTGTCCTGAGATTTCGTCTCCGTCCCTTCCTTCTTTCCTTCCTTCTTTCTTCCCTTCCTTCCTTCCCTCCCTCCCTCCCTCAATGTTTGGAACATAAAAGATGTGGTAAAGTGTCATGCTGCTCTATCCTCGTTACTAAAAGAAGGAAGGGGCTCAGCCTGATATCTCTCAGTTCTCTTCCTGATCCATCTCTCCAAATTTCCTTTAGAAATCTCTTCCACATGGGCCGGGCGTGGTGGCTCAAGCCTGTAATCCCAGCACTTTGGGAGGCCGAGGCGGGTGGATCACAAGGTCAAGAGATCGAGACCATCCTGGTCAACATGGTGAAACCCCGTCTCTACTAAAAATACAAAAAATGAGCTGGGCATGGTGGCGCGTGCCTGTAATCCCAGCTACTCAGGAGGCTGAGGCAGGAGAATTGCCTGAACCCAGGAGGCGGAGGTTGCGGTGAGCTGAGATCGCGCCATTGCACTCCAGCCTGGGTAACAAGAGCGAAACTCCGTCTCAAAAAAAAAAAAAAAAAAGAAATCTCTTCCACAAAAATACTTCATGGACCCTGACATCAGGGAGAAAATCACTAACGACAACAAGAAAGGCTCAGAAAACACTCAAATGAAACACATTCACATCTCAGGAAAAAATGCAGTTATACGCCTTCTTAAGCTAACATCTAATTTTGTTCTCAACATAAGTAAAAAGATGAAATGTACAATCATCTTAGGCAGGGATCTCTCACCTGCTCTCCTACCCTAGAGTCACCGATACCCCCACCAAAGGTACCTACAACACTGCTTTGCTTCCTCATTTCCCTCTAGCTTTCTTCCAAGATCCACCATACATGGGGCATCCTCTCCACTCCCACCAACTCTTTCCATCATGCAAACATTTCCTAAAATGTTTTGCCTTCTACAGACTTCCCAGTTTACCCAAAGAGAACTGCTGGCGTCCTCAGCCCTCTGTATTTAGAGACCAAAATCTGACCCAGACACATCTCTGATAGCAAGAAGACTCTCCTCTGTGCCTTGCCATTGTTTTCCTGTATTTAGAACAGTTTTCCACTGTTCCACCCTCTTCTGAGTGAAGGGGTAAGTGTGGGAAAGGGGGACTCTCTCACTAGAGAGCCTCAGCAGTGCCAGGCAGTTGAAAATCCAAATGAGGAAAAACTTGGTCATTACATGGGGCTAGGGCAGTGATCACAGAGCCTAGCTGCATTTTAGAATCTCCTGAGAGCTTTGGAAACATACTTATGCATGGGCCTCACCCCAGACCATTTAAATCACAATCTAGGAAAGTGGAGCCTGGTCATCAGTATTTTTCAAAAGCTCTCAGACATTTCTGAAAACCACTTGGGGCCAGGTGCGGTGGCTCACACCTATAATCCCAGCACTTTGGGAGGGTGAGGCGGGTGGATCACCTGAGGTTGAAAGTTCAAGACCAGCCTGACCAACATGGAGAAACCCCGTCTCTACTAAAAATATAAAATTCGCTGAGTGTGGTGGCAGGTGCCTGTAATCCCAGCTACTCAGGAGGCTGAGGCAGGAGACTCGCTTGAACCCGGGAGGCAGAGGTTGCAGTGAGCTGAGATCATGCCACTGCACTCCAGCCTGGCAACAAGAGCGAAACTCCGTCTCAAAAACAAAAACAAAAAAATATAACAAACAAACACTTGGTAGGGAAGGTCAGCCACCTCTGCTTAGTCAACAGGCTGAGAATTACAGGCATCCCTCTGTCCAGAAACAGAGCCCACATAGAGGCCATACAGGAGGCTGTGCTTTTGACGCAGAAAAAGTCGGATTTGGGCTGTGGCAGAGATGCTCCTGAGTGAAGACACTACCATGGTGGTCACATGGCCTTGGAGACACTAGGCCTAGATACTAACCTACAACAACAGGTGAAGCTGAGCTTCTCCAAAAAGGCTGGTCTAGCTTTAATAACTGGCTAGTGCATATGCTTCGGGCAAACGATGCGAAGGAAAGACAAATGGGTCGGCAGCAAAAGGAGGACTTAAATTTCATTTCATTAATATTTATTAGTGCCTGTTAACGGCAACACAGATGTCCAAGGGCAGAGAGGCCAGCGGGGAGAGAGAAGACATCTGGAAGGCAGTCTGTAGCCCAAGGGCAGAATCTTTGAAGGTATTTAGGAAGGTACTTTCTTCACTAGGTATCCAGTGACCATGGCACAACCCTGGGGGCAGAGAAAGCTACAGAGCCAAAGGGCATCACAGCAGGGAGGACAGGCTGGGGCCCACAGTCCAATAAAAGACCAAAAATCTGGCTCTGGTAAGGACAGAGGCTCCTGAAGACCTGCTCTGCCTGTAGCTCGGGGTCTGGGTAGCCTGGTCTGGCATGCGACTAATTAGCCGTTGCCAAGAGGAAGGATCGAGGGCATATGGACCAAGAAAGTGATGCTATACTGTTCAGTCTCTACTTATCTGAACATTGTCTGTCATTATATGAATGTGGGGAACGCTCCCGTGTGAAGCCCCCCCCCCAGTGTTGGGCCTCACTGTGCGTGAGCTTGATCCCGGACACAGTTTCCTGCTGGAGGCAGTCGAGCTATGGGGAAGTAGGAATGGAGAGAATAAGAATAACGTCAGCCTCTATTTCTGACTACAGTGGCCCTGGGTAATGGATGTGTGTGCTCTTTCGGTTCCTGTTGAGGAGTGGGTTTTGTGACTCTGTTTACCAAGTTAAGTATAGCCTTTTGAGGACCAGATGACATTCCTATACTCAGATAAAGATTTATGGCTTAGCCTGTGACATTTCTAGGTTGTTATCCTTGTGACCACATGTTCTGTTAACAATGATAAAGTATATCACCTGCTTACCTTTTATAACCCGTGATTATGTACCCCCTCTGCTGACATTTGCTTTTTGCAACTTTCTGTTCCCCTTATTGTATAGCTTACATAATGTGCACTGACGTCAATCCTTATAATCTATGGCCGGGCGCGGTGGCTCAAGCCTGTAATCCCAGCACTTTGGGAGGCCGAGGCGGGTGGATCACGAGGTCAAGAGATCAAGACCATCCTGGTCAACATGGTGAAACCCCGTCTCTACTTAAAATACAAAACATTAGCTGGGCATGGTGGCCCGTGCCTGTAATCCCAGCTACTCAGGAGGCTGAGGCAGGAGAATTGCCTGAACCTAGGAGGCGGAGGTTGCGGTGAGCCGAGATCGCGCCA